TATCCATTTTTTCCAAATTATTTCTCTGAAGTGCTTCACCTGTCGTCAACGTCGACGCAGTCCCAGAGGTAGGACTATTTTTCATCCTTTGGTGGCTGGTTGGTGCACATCGTTAGCAGTTCCCGAGGGGATAAAGTGGCATACGGATCCGGTGAACCTGGGACAGAAGTCAGCGGTCTGTCGCTCAATATCCCTTCTACTTCAATAAGGGTCGTTAATAAAACGGCATTAGTAACCACCTGATGATTCAGTATACCATCTAACAACGCTCAAATAAACCTAATCATCCGCTCCCACAAGCCACCCCCCCCCCGCCCGATGACTTGCGCATGGTGGGTTGAATATCCAGTCCCACTCCTTGTGGCTAGCTCTTTCTTTAAGCCTCTCCTGATTCAATCCTTTCAGTTCAGTCTCTGCTCCGTGAAAGTTTTGGTCGTTGTCGCTGTACCCCTTCGACGGCCAACCAAGCCTGGCAGCAAAACGTGTGAACGCAAATAGAAAGGAGTCCGTATCCAGTGCTGGGGACACTTCAATATGTACTGCTCTTGTTGTCAAGCGAATGAACAGACAGCCGTACCTACGTTCACGTACACGCCCACAAGCAACTATGATTGGTCCAAAGCAGTCGAGACCTATGGTACTGAACGCCTGTTGGTAGACAGCATGTGGATTCGGAATAACTGGTGCCATCAGTTGTTGCATGGGCCGAGCGTTGTGAATGCGACACGACGCGCAGCGGTTCTGTACTCTTTCGACGGCTCCAATTCCACCAATTATTCAGTACCTTTGATTTTCAGTCAAGGTATGTTGTACTCCTACGTGACCGTTCATTATGTGGTATTGAAATATCAGCAGACGTGCCACGTAGTGTTTACTGAGCATTAAGATCGGGTGTTTCACACTAAATGGAATTTGTAGGCATGTGAATCGACCAACGACTCTAATAATTCCATCGTTTAGAAACGGAGCTAATTTTTGTAATCGGCTTGACCTCAGCTTCGTTGCACTCTCACTCTGAAGTATGGGAACTTCTTCAGGAGATACCTCTCGTTGTAGCAGGCGAACGAGGATGGTGGTCGAATTCCGAATATCTGCTGCACTTATGTTGCCCGAGACATCTCTTATCGGCTAGTGGAAAAATCACAAAATGCAATACATCTTATATCGGAGCAATATGGCTATTCTTCTTTGTAGGCATATCCAGGTGGGGCAACTTTCAAAAATTTGTAACCAGCCGCTTTCTGAGACTGCGTTCATAACCTGACCGAATTCGCATGTTGTAAACTCGTCCGGAAGATCGCCGAGGCTTGGAGGTGCCTGAGGCCACAGTGAATCTGCGAGCATAAGGAAGGTGGGTCCGTCGGTCCATCGGCATAGGTCCTTTTCAGAATTTGTGCACAACCCTCGGGAAGCGAGGTCAGCGGGGTTCTGCTTCGACATCACATAACGCCACTGATAAGGACGTGAACACTGGTGTACAATGGATACTCGATTCGCTACTTAAGTCGGGAAACGTCGCATCAAGCACCGTAGAAGTTGCAAAACTAGCATGGAATCGGTCCAGAAGATCACTGGGCATTTCAAGTGCATTTCCTCGACTATTTGCGCGGCAAGTCGCGTCGATAAGACAGCGGCAGTGAGCTCCAAACGAGGAATAGACACGGTCCGTATAGAAGTGACTCTATACATACCGAGAACTAGGAGGCATATGAAATCTCCATTCTCACACACACATCACAGGTACACGGCAGCCCCGTATGCTGCATCTGAGGCATCTGAGAAGCAGTGTAGTTGGAAAGCAACCCTTCGGAATCCCTTAGGTGTTAAGCAACTAGGTATAGATGCACGGCTTAACTCTTTCAGCTCCTGTCACCATCGGATCCAGCGATTGTTTTCTTTTTCGGATAGCAGCCCGTCCCATTCCAATTTCTGCCTGACAAGACACTGCAGTAGTAGCTTTGGTGTAAGTAAAACTGGTGCTAGGATATGCCAAGGGTCGTAGATGGAGGCCGCGAAGGATAATATCTTTCTTCCAGTGGGGCTGCCTTCGAATTCCTTCAAGTCGAATGGTATACGGTCCTCGGTGATATTCCACACCACACCAAGTGCACTTTCCAAGCATCCGTACTTGATTCGATACAGTGATTCTGGAAACCTTAGTTCTTCTGGGGGGGGTAGGGGTCTCAGGACACACTCTTCATTACTGATCCACTTCACCAAACGGAACCCACCTGAATAACTGATAGTCTGCAAGTTGTCAATCAAACCTATGGCTTCTTCCTCAGTATTCACACTGCACAAGCAGTCGTCGACATGAAAGCACTCGTAAACTTGGTCGGTCACATGTTTCGAAAACCTTTCTGCATTATCAGCAATGGCTTGACGAAGCGCGAGGATCGCGCAACTGGGAGAAGACGTGGCGCCAAAGGGGTGAACGATCATCCGGTATGAGCTAGGTGAGATGGGCATGTCCCCGTCGTCCCACCATAGAAATCTCAAACAACAACGATCCTTAGGGGAAACCTTGAATTGGTGGAACACAGCCTCAATATTGGAAGCGACAGGTATCAGATTCATTCTGAAGCGTAATAGTACTCCAACTAAGCTATTCGTTAGATCCGGTCCTGGAAATAATTGCTTATTGAGTGATGTTCCTTTATGGGTGGCTTGGNAGCGACAGCTATCGGATTCATTCTGAAGCATAGTAGTACTCCAACTAAGCTATTCGTTAGATCCGGTCCTGGAAATAATTGCTTATTGAGTGATGTTCCTTTGTGGGTGGTTTGGCAGTCGAACACTATTCGTACCTTAACAGGCTTCCTGGGTTGATATACTGCATGATGTGGGATGTACCAAACCTCGCACTGACCTTCCAC